CGTCGCGCCGATACCGTCGGTATGTCAACAAAGAACTCTGGCGTTTTAAATTCACAGATACGGGCGAATAAGATCCGCATATATAGGGCAAAATAAAACGTAGAGTATTTAGTGAGTGCGATATAGTTGAAGATTTACCATTTAGTTAATACAGTTACATATGTTTAGGTTAGTTCAATAATTTGTTTAATAGTTAAGATAGATAGGGTTTAATAGTTAAATAATGTAATAGTTTAATAGTTAGTTTAATAGTTAGGCTAAAGTGCCCAAGACGGGCACTGCGAAGGGGTGGGTAATGTGACGATCCACGAAAGACAATGTCACGATCGTCACGACGATAAAGCAATAAATTGTTTACGCCGAATAACCGCGAGACAAAAGCGCTGAACATCCGCGAAAACAACAAACAGCTTCGCTGTTTCCGAATTTCGCGTATAAAAGCCGACGCGAAAACGACGTTGAACGAGATCCACCGGAGAGCTCCACTGAGACGCTCAACCGACCAGAACTCGTTGCAAACCTCTACATCTCACCGCTTCCTAGACATCCCGTCGACCGAGTTGGATACGCGACGTCGACATCCGCTACTTAGTCCATTCCCGTCGACCAAGGTGGTTACGCGACGTCGATCTCCGCTACCTAGTCCGTTCTTGTCGACCGAGGTAGATACGCGACGTTGACATCCGCTTCCTAGATCGTTCCGTTAACCCGCTTATTTACGGGTGTATATCAGTTGGACACGGGGCAATTGGACACAGTCCAATCACAAGTCGCTGTTCCAAGGGACCCTACAAATGTCTCTAATCACACGGTGCTGTGAGTGTCAAAATGCACCGTGTCCAAGTGCACCGCTCCCCTTATTTACACCGAATACGCGACCGAGATCTCCAACACATCGGAACGCTCTCGAATACGCGTAATCGACGCTAAGCGTCTCATCGCGTCAGCATACTGCTCCGACACCGCATAACGCATCTCGCGTATACAAGTTGCGAAGCAAATCGTGATAACAACCGTTCCGAAACCGGCTCGATTAAAAGCTAGTATCAACGTTTAAATCCTGCTAAGTACACAGACAAAGCGGACGATAGAAGACCGCAAAACGATACCGATTGCATCCCGCAAACCGTGCGCTGGCCTGGATGCTCGCAGCTGTCATCGCGACGTAAACTTAGACTCACAACGTGAGCAAAAACGCGATCAAACACCAGCGGCGTCGCTCTACCTGTATATATTTTGTAAATAGCATTTATCCTGGAATATAGTTTATATTTTTTACTACCTATACCACTGCTTCAAATTTATTGAGCCTAACCTTGGACCATACCGACTAAGACTATCCCGCACGGAACACAAGAGCGTTACAGGGTAATACTGGAAATATTGATGTGACGATCCGGAAAGCGTCACGAAACAATTACTAACAAAACGCCGAACAACCGCGCGCGGAACAACCGCAATGTCAACAAACAGTCGAAAACTGTTTGTTATAATTTTGTATAAAAGCCGACAGAAAATTGATATCGGGAGAGATTGATCGGAAAGCTCCTCTAAGGCGCACGACCGACCAGAACTCGCAATTCCTAGAGATCCTAGACATCCCGTCGACCGAAGTGGATACGCGACGTCGACATCCTCTCCGATACCGCTCTACCGACCGAAGTGGATTTGCGACGTCGGTTTCCTTTCCACACACCGCTCCGTCGACCGAAGTGGATACGCGACGTCGACATCCTCTCCGATACCGCTCTACCGACCGAAGTGGATTCGCGACGTCGGTTTCCTATCCACACACCGCTCTGTCGACCGAAGTGGATACGCGACGTCGACATCCTTTCCCCGATACCGCTCTACCGACCGAAGTGGATACGCGACGTCGGTTTCCTATCTGTACCTCGCTCCGTCGACCGAAGTGGATACGCGACGTCGGCATCCTTTTCCTCCTCACGCTACGCCGCTAACACCTACGATCGCGAACGCATACAGGGCGTAAGATAACGGCGACAACGAGCGCCTTTAAACCAGCAAGGAAAGACCAGGATAAATAAACAGATTAAAGCCGATGAGGCAACGAAATCCGAACGACGAACAATAGTGTATCCGGAAACAATTCCGACCGCGTCCCGCCGGCCGCTCGCGCGCCTCGACGCTCGCAGCTGATCGCGAGACGACAACAACGGCTCCCGACGAGAGCAAAAACGCGACCACGCGCCAACGGCGTAACGTCGCCTGTAAATAATTGTAAATAGCTTCGAAATTAGAATATAGTTCCACATTATTATCACCTATACCACTGGTTTTCATTTCACACACGAAACCCGGACCACACCGGCTAAGAATATCCCGCACGTAACGCAAGGCCGTTACATTGAAATCTCCAAAAAAATAATTTTTATGATATATCTTCAACTCACACGTCAGTTTACGTTGATTTTGAATGAAATTTAGATCTTTTAATTGATTTCTCACTATTTTTACACCAGGAAATACACCAGTACTAATCGGACGCAAACTCGAGAACTGCAGATAACCTTCAGGTTTCTAGTGTATCACCTAAGCTGCTGCGCTATTTCTTCTACTGATACGAAATGTTTCATATTGTCCTCATATGTAACCAAAGCAATAATTTTAATTATTTATATTATTTAGTATAACTACAAAAATTAACTATTTAATCCAAATATTTACTATAATAAAAGAAAAGTTAGATATATTCTGTCGACACTTGCACCTCTTCGCGTGCCATGGATCACTAAAAGAATTTTGTGATATCATAATCTTTTTTCAAAAATAATATTTCATGCTTGTTTATTGCAATTTAATGTTAAATAATTAACCGCATTTTCATGGAAATGACAACTCAAGACATCCAACACGGTCAGAATAAATTTATAGCGTTCTAATGAACAGTTTTTCGACGATAAGTCTTTCATAGGACGCCAATTTGTGAAATCTTCTCCACAAGAAAAATTTTATCGAAATTTTTCTATAATCATATGCTAATAAAAAACATATGAGTATTCATTCAAAACCCCATAAGATACACTTTATAG